ACCGGATCCAAGCACAGAGTAGAACTTAGTCATCTCCAATACACCTAAAATATTAGACTCTCATTCCATCATTGCTCCAGTCTAATCCTTACAGAAGGAAGAAATCAAGCACCTCCGCAATTCCAGCGCTAATCGTTATCCCACCCAACTTTTAAGATGCTTTCAAGACCCCTATTCTTTCTGCCCCACTGAGTATCTGGAAAATGAAGAAATGGGATAAGAATTAATCTTAAATTTGTTTTACTTTCAAGTGTACCGACAGCTGGGGCAAAAACACTAAAGGAAACAACACTTACAGAACTGTAGCAGGAGAAATTCAGGCATGTGTTTGAACCTCCAGAGTAACTTTTTTTGTTTGGTTGGGTTTTTTTTCTGCCTATTTATCCCCTGCCTGCAATCACCGCACAGCAGTTTCTCTCCATCCCACCTTCTCCATGATTTTATCAGCCCACATCAAGAGGCTACTACTGCAACTCTATAGCTCTCCCCTTCAGAGGAAAATATTTCACCACCAAGAGATCATTGTTCGTAAGAAAAGCTTCCTCTTCCCTCCGTCTAATCCAATTTAATCCAATTATGCACCTTAAGGTATCTGAATGCTTCCCCTGATCTGTGGGTGGGCGGTGGTGTGAGGAGTCACACATCCTTCCACACCCCAGGATCTGCCCATGCTGCACTGGCTCTTCCACAGCTTTCCACAAGTCCTATTTATTTTTTTTCTGAAAGTAGGAAAAAAGGGAGGGGACTCACAAATATAGCGGAGTATTAATAACTGAATAATAAATAAAGTAGAAAATAGATTTGCGATTTATAGGGAAAAAATATGGCAAAAGCTCCTGGTGTAAGGATCCCTTCTCATCCACAAACTCAAAGGATGTTGCTGCTGTGGTTTATGAAGGGGATGTGAAGAAGCCAACTTTCCACAACATGTTTCCATGGAAGTTGTCCCAGCAGTAAGAGGGCTGTTAAGTTGCTTCTCTGAAATGCCACCCACACATTATCCAATTAATTTGTCTGACACTCCTGAGACAGAGCAAAGGGATCATCCTCCACCCTTCTTGCTCCCTCAACAAATGTTTCACCATATTTCTATGATACTCCTCCCCTTCCAACAGCAACCTCTCCGCACCCTTACGCACATTTGACCACGACCATTGCTCTTAAGAACTCGAGCATGTTGGATGGAGGAGCTTGGGAGGAGATGTGTCCTCCTGACCTATTTATAACCCGACACTAAGAGGGGACGCGCGGTTCCCCCAGCACGGAGCAGTGGCCGCCCTCGGGGACCAGCCAGACCAAACCTCTGTCTCTGCTTTTAACTAGAGGAATGAAAGATTTATAATTTTTTTCTATGCAATGCATCAGTAAACTTTCACAAAACATTACTGGAGCAAGGAGGGCTGTTTAAAGATTAACACTTCTGCATAACATCTAGACGGATATTAAGCAGCTTTTCACCCTCCGACCGGCTGCAGCTAAGACCATCCCAAATAAACCCCAACACGATAAACCTGATAATCTCAATTATGTGCTTCTCCAGCTCTTCCTTTGACGATACTGCTATTTCACTATCAGACAGCACTACTGCAAGTGGGGAATAAATATAAATCGGACGAGATTTGCTCTGGAAGAGCTGAATTTCATGTAGTGTATTTTAAAGAACATTGTGTTCAACACAGCAGACTTAATATCTTATTAAAAAAACTACTCTTGCTCTCACAGTTAAATCACATCTTTACCACAGACTGAACTTGGACTAAATGCAAAAAGTCTAAAGATTCATTTTTTAAAATTAGACTGCCAGGGGATCAAACCCACTTCTTTTAAAGCGCCCAAGAACTTTCCTAGCAGCCCCATGAGGAAAAGAAAAAGCCGTAGAAACAGCAACATCCAGAAGTCAAGTCCCTCCCTTTTAAAACACCTTTGCCTACGCAGAGAACAGCGCGAGCGTCTACACTGGGCACTTTTGGAGGACAGCTTGCGGTGACAAACCCACCGTCGCCAGACCACCCCCACCCTCGGTGCAGAACGGGTTTCAGTCCCTAACGCGCAGCGAGGTGCTACTGCAGAAAACCAGCCCAGCCCAGCCCAAGGCTACAAAAACGTCAAGCAGGCACTGTGAAACCAAGCCCCCCAAGGACTTCTGCTGCTTCTGTCGGCCCAGCGCCCCAGTGCCTGGCGGAAAGGCGAGGGCTGAGAGCCTGCAGGCGGGCTGCTCTCCCTCACACGCCGTGCTTTGAGAAGCGGAGCTCCCGACCTCGACAGCAACAACCCCTCCGCCCTGAACGCAGCCCCGCTCGCACCCCGGCTCTCCGGCCGTGCCTGCCTGGCAGGGAGGTGCCGGCGGAGGAGCCCGCGCCGGGGCGGGAGGCAGAGCCAGGCACCCTCGGCTCAGCGCCGGGACCTCCCGGACCTGGAGCAGGATCCCGGCGAGCACCAACCATCCCAGAGCAGTCGGCGCGATCCTCCTGACCGACCAGCGTCGGCTCCTCTTCCACGGTGGAAAACCAAAAGCCGCGCAGCAGGCGGTGAGGGTCCCTCAGCCCGAACGGGAGAGGAATGCCGAGAGCCGCCGACAAGGAAGCTTAAAAACCAAATCAAAACTCTTGCAGAATTTCAAGCCCTGAGATGAATCCATGTCAGAGATCAAAAAAAAAAAAAAAAAAAAAAAAAAAGCAGGATTGTCATATACTTCCCCCCCCCCCCCGCCCCCTCCCGTAAAATCCACCCCGGGAGCTGGGGAGGAACGCGAAGCTCTTTCTCCCAAGTTACTCATCGCTCTGAATCACACCTCCCCAGGCACACCGCAGCTCAGAGCCGGCTCCGGGTTCACCGGAATTACTTCCCGTCTCCATATGGATCCCGAGAAGTCGTTATATGGTGCTTAAATTAAAAAAGAGCAACCACCACCTTCAATCTGCACCATCGACTTTACGAGCAATAACTAAGCCCTTTCCGTCCTCATAAGGCGTATTCTTCTTTTCTGTGCCATAAAAGAAAAAAAAAAAAAAAAAAAAAAAAAGGGGGGGGTATGTATTTTATCCATAGCTACACTGCGAATCAATTGCAATTATAAGCTTAAAAGCACTGGTTTAATTTTATGACCCAACTGGTAAGCAAGGATGCTTTAGGCATCACCTGCCCCCAAAGGCAAGATGTGTTTGGGATTACAGCTGAGCGGAGCAGGGGCGCAGAGCCAGGTCCCCATCTCCAGCCTGCAGCAGAACTCGTCCTGAAATTATATTTTTAAAGGGCGTTCAGGAGCTGTTGGAGGAACACTAACTAAGGCATCGACACGCGGGCGCTTCGTTTTGCTGTATTTCAGTGGAAAACTGGGATTTTCCCACGGGTCTGAGCTCTGCCGTGGATGCAGTGAAGTTTTAAGATGACACAGGGGGGGGAAAAAAAGGGGAATTTAAGCAGTTACACCTGTTTCGGTGGAGGAGGGTGAGCAGGCACAGCCTCCTCCCACAGGCACTAGTGGCAGCACAGCTCCGGCAATCATTTAGCGCTGACTTTAGGAGAGCCACGAGGAAACACGAGGGGAACCCCAAGCAGCACTGCTTGCCCCGTGGGTCTGAGACAAGAGGAGAGAGGCAAAGTAATTACTTTCTCCAACCCTCTCCCGAGCCGGCAGCGGCCACGGGTGGGAGGAAAGGCTCGGTCCCCCCACACCTCCACGCGGCTTTTTGTGGTTACTGCCTCGACGCCCCCCGGCGTGGGTCAGCCCCGTGAAAGTGGCTCAGAAGCGCTCCCCGGGCGGAGCTGGCCATCGGCTGCCCGCCCCACCCGGGGAGACACGCGTGGCCACTCGCGAGGCGAGCGCTACCCGGTGGGGCGCACCCCGCACCCTCGCCTTTACCCACGCGGGGCGGGGGATTCCCCGCTCACACCCCCCCCACGCGCGCTGGAAGCCCGTGCCGCCCGGGAAGCTGCGCCCCACGCAGCTGGGCCAAACCGCTGCGACCACCCTGCGCTCCCACTCCCCAACCCGGGGGGGGGGGGGGACACGACGACACACAGGACACCCCACGCAACTACATCCAAGAACCACCACCCCCCCACACGCACCCAACCCCCCCCCCCCTTTCCAGGCAGCACCAGCAACCCCGGACCCGCGCGGAGGCACAAGAGCTCCCCCCCACCCCGCGCGGGGGAGCCCACGCGCGCCGCCTCCCCCACCCCACCCCCCTCCTTTTTTTTTTTTTTTTTTTTTTTTTTTTTTTCCCCCCGCGGCGCCCACCGTCGATGTCGCCCAGGGTGAGCTCGTCGCCCAGCTCGGTCAGGCTCTCCATGTTCTCCACGCCCAGCTCGCCGCCCTCCATCGCGTCGGGGCCCACCGCGGCCGGGCGCCCCGGCGCATGAACCCCCCGAACACCCCACGCCACGCCACGCCACGGGCGCTCAAGCGGAGGCAGCCGGCGAGCGCCGCCGACCCCGCGCCATCTTGGTCCCGCCCCGATCCGGCCGCTGGCCCCGCCCCCCACCTGCCCGCCGCCGCGGCCCGGCAGCGGCGCGCGCGACCCCCCGCGGTTTGTTGTCAATGAGACCAGGTCGCCGGCGGCCAATCGGCGGCCGCGGCGGCGCGTGGTGTGATGGCGCGTCAGCGATCAGCAGCTGCGATTAGCATAGGGCGCCCCGCCCCGCGCTCCCCCGCCCCCCTCGGGTTGGAATATTCATGAGAGGGGCGGGGCCGGCGGGGGAGCGGGGCGGGGCGCTGCGCTGCGGCGGGCACGCGTGGGAGAGGGGCGAGCGCGCTGCCCACGGGAAACGCGGCGGGGGCAGCGCTGGCACCGCCGGGCCCCCAGCCCGGCTGGAGGCGGCGGAGGTCAGAGAGGGCGTTTGTTGTTCCCCAGCTCCCCCGTTAGCATGTCCGTCCCTCCGCAGCTCCCCACGGACCCTCGCCTCCTGAGTGGCCAGCCCCGACGCCTGCTCGCACCACGAACAGGAGCAAAGGCCAGGCTTCTTTTACTTAAAAAAAAAAAAAAAAAAAAAAAAAATTAAAAATAATAAAGTCAAATTTATTCAAGAAAAACAAAACACGCGCCCATCGCGCCCCCAGACTTGGCTCTGCAGTTAAAAATTCAGAGCATCTCCCCTTTCCCAAGGGCCGCGGTGCCCCCAGCCCGGCACAAAGCACCCGCTTCTCAGGGGACGGCCCCCCCCCACCCCCCCGCAAAAGCCTCCTCGGGTGTGAGTTCATCAGCGACCACAGGAAAACGCAGGGTTGCTGTGCCGGGTCCCGGGGCCAGCCCCTCATCTCGGCTCCTGCTGCAGCCCAGAGACCCCACGGAGGGTCGCAGCCCCCTGGCTGGCTCCCTCCCTGCTGTCGTGTTGTCGCCCCCCCCCCCCCCCCCGAGAAGTGGGTTTGGGGAACTAAACTAGAGAGGAAGAGCCCCACACCGGAGGGATGGGACGGCGTGGGGGTGCAGGACAGGCTCAGGGCTGGTTCCTCAGCACCTTCAGCGTCAGCAGTGCTCGCGCTATGGGCACACAGCTGCTGCAAATGGGGCCGAGAGCCAAAATCCCTCCCTTCCCAAACATTCTGTGCCTGTTCGCCTCGCTGCAGGGACGCCCTGCAGCAGCCTCCTGGGAAAAGGGGATGCTGTCGGGCTGGGAACCGGCGCCATCGGCCTTTTCAACCACGGATGACCGATGAAAGACTTGTTCCTTGGTAAAAAAGCCACTGGAAAGAAGGGAGAGCTGTTCCCACAGAGGCAAAAGTTGGGCAGAGATCGGGTATAACCAGGTGGGGGGGTGTCAATGAGCTCACCATCTTAAAAAAAAAAACAAAAAAAAAAAAAAACAAAAAAACACCAAACCAAAAAACAAACAAATAAAAAAAAACCCAGACTGAGAGAAGCAGCATTGCTCATGAGGCTGTTTGGCATGATGTGCTCCCCAGCCCACCCACGACAGAGGAGGCACATTGAGTGTGGGGCACCCTGTGCTGCAGAGAAGAGGGCTCCCCGGGCTCCCCACGGGGTTCAGCCACAGCATGTCCCCCTCATCCTACCCCACGACGGGTGGCAGCACCCCAACCAGCCCAGGAGATCCCCCCACTGCCTTCCTGTCTGTGCTTTGGCTCTGGGGAAAGGGTACCCCACTTCAGCTCCCCCCCCCAGCCCCAATGAGGCAACCCACCGGCACGGCCACCCGGCCCCTGCCGAACGAAAGGGAAAGGCAACAAAACAAAACCCACGGCACAAACGGAAAGGGGACCGCTGGGCACCGGCCCGAGGCCACCGAGAGGGAGGGAGCCGCTCCGCAAGCCCCCCCCCGCACGCTACAGCTCCGACTGAGAGCGGGAGATGCGCGGGCCCTTGCGGATCTCCTTCCGCTTCTCCTCCTTCTTCCTCCGCTTCTCCTCCTCCCGCAGCGCCTTCTGGAAGGTGTCGGCACTGGGGAAAAACTGTGAGGCGGCAGCGGAGGGTCAGCACGGGGGAGCCCCCGCAGCCACAACCCCCACCAAAGCCAACGCACAAGCCCCGGGGTGCCAGGGGGGCTTGAAGTCCGATGTGGCATGAGGCAAAGGGGGTCCCAACGCTCCCATGGGGCAGGCGGCCGCGGGAGGGGGAGATGGCACCAAGTGCCCAAAGCCAACCGCAGCCCAGCCGGGGAAGTGAACGTGCATGTTTCAGCCATGCTTCCCCCACGCTGGGGGTTTTTGGCCGTTCCTCACCCAAGCCACCCAATTCCCTCCCTCAGCTGGCTGCCTAGAGCTGCGACGGGGGGACTGGGGGCGACAGGGAAGCCCATGGGGCGAGCCGGTGGCATTGCTGTCTTACCTCAGAATGGTCCGTTTTAAAGGGATTGCGGTAATCGGGCGATTTCTCGCTGATTCCCAGCTCCTGAGCCATCTGAAGAGCAAAGCGGAGACCACGTCGGGGAGCGGTGCCTCCCACCCACGTCCTCCGGTCACCAGGGTCCCCTCCTCCCCACCAAGCCCCCTCCGTGCTCTTCCCCCATCCCTCAGCCCAAGGACAACCCTCAGACACCGGGTATGCTCCTCCCTGCTCTCCTTTTACCCCCCAAACCTCACCCCCCCTAGCCCCAGCAGCAGAGAGGGGATGCGGTGGGGGGGGGGGGGGGGGGGACCAGGAGCCATACCAGCCCCAGGACCTGGGAGTGGGGTCCCTGCTCAAACACGCCCGTCAGGTTGCAGAAGCCGATGCCCCAGCGGATGAGGCTGTTCCAGTTGGAGTTGCGGTCGAAGTAGTGGTGCACGATCTTGGGGAAGCGCAGGACGACGTCCCCAAAGAAGGCGGTGTTCTCCACCACGTGGGAGTACGCTGTGGGGGACAGCCACCAGTCCCGTCGGCACACGTGCCCCATCCCACTGGCGCCCACGTCCCCACCAAGAGGTGGGGAGGCCGAGGGCAAACGTGCAGGCTCCCCAGTACAAACTGGTCAGAGAGGCAGCAATAGGGTCCTCAACAGACAGGGACCGGCCCAGGTCTGGTCTGGGTTGTACCTACCCTGCTACCGGTCCCAGAAGGAATGTCAGTGATGCACCAGAGCACTAGAAAAGGGAGGGGGGGGGTAAGGATCAGAGAGGACCTACCATCCTTTATCTTCTCATCCTGAGGGAAAGGCCCATCAGGAGGCACGTCAGCAGCGATGAGCACAGCCCGGGAGTCCTCCAGCACCTGCGAGAGCCTCGGTCACTGCCCCATCCTGCCAGCCCCTCCCCACACCCCAGGGGGTGCTGCCCCGGCCACCCCTTTTGCAGCCCCCATGGCACCCTCCCTTCAGGTCCCAAAGCCCACCTGCCCACCCAGCCCTTCTCTTGGACCCCATGAAGGCCCCTCAGCCCTCCCTTCTTCTCCTGCCCACCCTCCCCAGCCCCATGGCGCACCGAGCCCAGAGGGTGGCCCGCGCTACAGCTCACTTTGAAGAGTCCCTTGAGCATGATGTCGATGATTTTGTACTGCTGGTTGACGTCATTGAGCTCAATCAGGTTCTTCAGGGCATTCATCTGGTCCTTGCGCTTCACCTCAAACAGCTTTTTATCTGCACCGCTGTCAAGGGTGCCGCCGGCATGCTCCCACTCTCACGCTCCACAGGGCACCCGGCACCATCCCAGCCCCCCCCCCCGCCAGTTCTCCACAGGGTGCCTGAGGGCTGGGGGCAGCGCCTAAGCCAGCATGAACCATGGCTTTCCAGCACAGACACCCCAGCGGGGCACTTAACAACGCTGGGCACCCGTGGGGAGCTTTCTACTTGCCAGCCCCTGCTCCAGCTGACGGGCTGGAGGGTGAGTGTGAACTCCCACCTTCCCCATATGTGTCTCCATGAGCATACGTATTAAATACCTTTTCATAATTTGCCGGTTGCTGCTGTGTGCTAGGAGGGGCTCGCATCAGCCCACCGCCTCGCGGGCGACCGACCGCACGCCGGCGGCGCAGGGCGAGTGCTGCAAGCCCAGGAGCCCTCTCCCACCAAACCACCGAGACCCGCAGGCGTGCTCTGCTTCCTGGCTGACCTCACCGCTCCCGAGAGCGGAGCGGGAGAGGTGCTCGGCACCCCGCATCCTGGAGCAGAAAGGAAAAGCGCCGTGCTGGGGAGAATGCCAGGCACTGCCAGAAAACCCACCTCCGCCCCTGCACCGAGCCAGGCGCTGGGTTAGCAAAGCCAGGAGCTCGGCTCAAGCCCGTCTACAGAGGAGCAGAGGCAACCGCCCAGCGGTTCTGGGCCTTCTCTCTTCCACCCCTCTGTGACCCTTTCCGCGGTCTCTGACCCTTTCCCTGTGCACCAGCTCCCTCCAGCCTCCGCAGGCGCGAAGGTGTATGTGGGACGAGGGGCAGGCTGCAGAGAAGGATACAGATTTCCAACCCAGAGTCCACCCTCTGTTTTTCCAGGTCTGCGAAGCTGCCCCGGGACAGCAGCAGCACCAGCAGAAAAGGGCAGATGAAGAGAAAATCCATGTCAGCCACCGCAGCCTGGAACAAAATGGACCAAGAAAACCAATCATCAGCGAGGAGAGTTACCAAAGGGAGAAGTCACACGAGCCTCTCGGGACCAATGGCACATCACCCTCGGCACCAGGGTCCTTGCCCACCTCTCCCTTGTCCCCACGAGGGGTTTGAGGGAGACAGTGGCCAGAACAGGACAACAGGACGATGCTGCAGCCAGCCTGCTCTCCCCAGCCCCTCTACCTGCCTCCACTGCCGGCTGAGCACCGGCTGGGCCCCCAGGGATCTGACTGAGCACTGACCCAGCAGAAAAATTAAGTCCTACCCCTTCTCCCAAAAATAACAGCCAACATTTTGCTGGCTTTGCAAGTTAGAGCAGCCCAGCCACGAAAGCAGCAGGGCCAAAGGGAGGGGGAGGATCGCTGAAGGGCTGAAGTCCACCTCTCCTTCAAGCACCAGGCTCGGCCACCTCACTTCATCTCTTGGGGTGCTGGCACCTGGACCCTTCCCCTTGCTACAAGTCGGGTACCAGCCGCAGGCCCCACGCCGAAAAGCAGCGGTTGGTGGTAACTCGCCCCCAGTGCGTCCCTCCCCAGGCAGAGGCCGAGGGTCTGCAGGGATGCGGTCGGGCAGAGGTGCTCCTGGCCACGAGGGTCCCTCAGGCAGAGCCAAGGTACAGAAGAGGGGCTAGAGGAGAAGGCCCTTGAGAATGAGGACCCTGGTCCCTGGGACAGCCTAGACCTTGAAAAGGAGAACAGTATCTCGGCCTCCAGGCAGCGGGACTCAAGGCAGCCTCTCCGCAGGGACAAAGTTTCTGCAGAGCCAAGCAGCCGCCACCAGAAATTACAGAAGCAGCAGCAGCTCCTTCAGAGACATCCCCCGAAACAAATCCCTTCTTCACACCAGATTTAGTTGTTTGTTTTTTGTTTTTTTTTTTTTTCTTGTCGTTTTTCTTTTTTAAACAAATACAATTTGTTCAACTTCAGGCCCATGAGCGAGGCAGAGCAGGCAGCACCGGCAGCTCTCCCAGCCCCGTGAGGAGGATGAGGAGGACCGGCAGCTCTCACTCCTGAGGCTGAGCCAAGCCCCCTCGCACCCCCCGGCACGGGCAGGGAAACAGCATCAGGCAAACATGAGAAACCCTCTGCATTTTTTTGCTATTGTGCTTTACAAAAGGCAGCACCCCTGGAAGGGAACAGGTCCGAATAACAGCAACCAGTGTTACAGAGAAAGACACAGCTGTCCCCGGTGTGGGCTCGGCATCGCGCCCTGCGTCTTAGACACAGTGCAGAACCAGGATGGCAGCACAAGCCCCCCCCACCGGGCCTGGGGTCCCTCCTCCCTGCCTGCTGTGCCGTGAGGCTTAAAGCATATCCCAGCCACCCTGAAGTCCGCAAAGCACGCTGACAAGCCAAGGATGTAAGGAGAAATTCTCCAGCTCAAGGCAAGCAGATGATCTGCTGGACCCACCAGCCTGGTTGTCTTCCAAGAGACTGCTTCATCCTGCCAAAACCCACGACCCAAGGGCCCCAGGCCTGGCTTAGCAAAGGGGTGCGGGTCCCCCCTCTGCAGAGCCCCCCATGGCCGCTCGCTCCCTCCCAGGCTCTCAGGGAAGAGGAAGAGTTGCGACTCAAAAGCACAAACTGTGACTGTCCTGGGACCCAGGCTCCTGTTTGCCCCTCGGATTGGGCACACGGCCATAAGGACCAGGCTGGTCATTTGCCATGGTCGCGGGAAATCGGAGAGAGACCTCTGAGGCAGCCGGTGGTCTCCAGACCAGGCTGAAAGGCAAAGAGCAGAAACGCTGCCTGCAACAGCAGTCCCAGCACGCCTGGGCAGGGCAGGGGCTCCCGCGTCCCCCCAATTCCGACATGGGAGCCGGGTGGCTGGAGGATGTCCTATGGCTGCTCTGAGGAAGAAGACACTGAGCTGCAAAAAAAAACCCACTCAGGCAGCAGCAGAGCGAAGCACAGGTCTCGGCTGAAGCGGTCGCCAGCCGGCTGGTTGCTGCAGCAGAAAGCCCACCAGCCTGCCTGGCTCCCCCCGGGTCTCACAGCAGAGCCAGGCTTTCCCAGGGGCACGACAGCAGATGCTGCGGTACTGACGGTTAGTGTTTTCAACGAAAATGTTTTGAACGACTTTACAAATCCTCCTGCGGCGGCCGTACCGATCGTGCCACGCGACAAGGTCGGAAGAAGAGGACCGGCGAAACACGCCACACCAGAAGCCCGTCACCTTTCTGTCTGCCCCCTTCCCTGCTGACACTCATTCTCACCTGGAAGCTACTAACCGCCTGCCGTCCCTCGGGGCTGAAACACCCCAGTGACCGTGAACCAGGAGCCAGTTGTTGCCCTCACCTGTAGGGAAGGCGAGGCTGCTGGTGCCACGCGGGACCAGCTCCAGCTTTATTTCCCTTCGCTGCCCTGCCCATTTCACCCCATTTTAATAGCAGAGGACGTTCCCTCCTCTCTAGGCCGGACTGTGTAAGCGCAGGGATACCAAAGCTTCTTGCAGATGTTCCTCCATGCTTTCCCCACGAACCCTCCCTCGCGTCTTCACACCCGTTGAGGGATGAGAGGGGAGAAACACCGCAGGGCTGCTCCTCTCTTCCCTCCCTGAAGTGAGCCCTGCCAAAGCCAGCTCTGCCCAGTGCTCCCAGAGCAGGCCGGTGAGCCAGGGCCTGGCCTGATGCTGCAGATGGGAAGGAGTTTCCACCGATATTCCCTCGCAGCCCTGGCCAGCTGGTTGTTTCAGCAGAAAGCCCACCAGTCTGGCTCGCTGTCTCCCATCCTCTTAATTTAGACATGTTTTTCCAAAGACACGACAACAGATGCTGTGTTATAGATGGTTAGTACTTCCCATTAAAATGTTTTTAATGACTTTATAAATTCTCCTGCAGGAGCCCCATCTGAACTGAGCATCCCCACGGTTTATTCGCTTAATGAGCTCGCATGGCAGAGCCATGCTGCCAAACTTCAGTTCCCAGGAGGGACTTTTGCAGAACCCCCCCTTCCCCTCTACAGGGCACTGAAACATAGGGGGAAAAGCACCACCAGCCAGCTTACCCCAGGAGCAAAACAAGGAATGAAAACTCCCTGCCCCACAAATCCACCCCTGAGCCGCTCCTCCGGCAACCAGGTAAGGATTAATCTGTTGTCACAGCTGAACCAAAAGCTTCGGAAGCGAAACTCAGCCTGCTCAGACTTCTGCTAGGACATCTCCATGCAAGGCTTACAGGACCAGTTGCCTCGGTGAAACAGCAACGGCCGTTTACATCGGCTTGCCTCCAAAGTCCCTTAACCACTAAAAGGCGAGAGCCACCCGCCGGGGTTTGGCTGCCCTGACTGAAGCCAGAGAGCTGCTGTGATTCCTGCCAGGGCCCGGGTCCATCCCATCCCACCTCCGTGCCCCCCATCCTGCTGGAGGGGGGGTCAGCGGCACCCCGAGGGGCTCAGGCGGCCGCGGGGAGAGGGAGGTGGGGATTCTCTTTCAAGCGCTGCTAAAATTAATGGCAATTGCACTGGGACAGAGGCGCGGCAATCTGATTAGCGGGGACTAATCAGATTGGGAAACCCATCCAGAGCCGTCTCAAGTGGACGCGGCAGGCGGCACACGAGGGGATGCAAACCCACGGGGCGGGACGCGGCTGCTTCCCCGTGCTGCCGGCGGTCTGCTCCTCACACAGCCCCGGGACGGGGCTCCGGCAAGGGCGAGGAGGGAAGGAGGGAAGGAGGGAAGGAGGGAAGGAGGGAAGGAGGGAAGGAGGGAAGGAGGGAAGGAGGGAAGGAGGGAAGGAGGGAAGGAGGGAAGGAGGGAAGGAGGGAAGGAGGGAAGGAGGGGGGAAGGAGGAGGGAAGGAGGGGAGCCGGCGGCGATGGCAGAGCCCTTCGGGCAAGGGCAAAGCCGGCTAACCAAAAGTCCAGCGAGGCACCTCTGGGCCGCGCTGCCCGTCCCGCTCACCGGCCACCCCGGCTGCGAGGGCTTCTTCCTTCCTTCCTCCCCCCCTCCCCTCCCGGGTCTCCCCCCCGGTAGCGGCCCCCCCCTCCCCGCCGCCCTGCCCCGGGCAGCGGCCCCCGGGGGCAGACCCTGACCCTGACCCTGACCCCGCCTCCGCCCTTCCCCGGGGAAAAAGGGGGGGGGGGGGGTGCGGCCCGGCTCCCCCGCCGGGCGGCGTGGCCGTGGCCGTGGCCTCCCCCCTCGTCTCACCTGCGGGCCGGGGACCGGGACCGGGGCCGGGATGGGCGCTCACGCCCGCCGCGCTGCCATGCCGCCGCCGCCCCGCCCCGCCCCGCCCCGTCACTTCCTGAGATCCCGCCCCGCCCCGCCCCGCCCCGCCGGCAGCCGGGCCCCGCCCCCGCCCGGAGGGTTTCCCCGGGCTCTGCGGGGAAGGAGCCTCGGTGCAAACGCCGACGAGGAAAGCCAAGAGGAGAGCGGGGGGGGGGGGTTGGTTCTGGGGCTGTAGCCTACGGGATCATCCGTCGTCTGGAAGAAGTCTGCGGTCTGCGCTCCCCCGTGGGACGGGCAGCCCCCCCCCCCCCCCCCCCCAACCCAGAGGAAAGGGGCCACCCCGCAGCAGCACCAGCGCCTCTGCCAGAGCACATGCCCCCCCGCGTATGACATCGCTTACACCGGGCAGTTAGTTCTGTATTTTGAGAACTGAAGAGCAACAGCCAAGCTTCATCCCACACACAAAACAAAACAAAACAAAAAAAAAAAAAAAAAAAAAAAAACCAGAAACGAGGAGCCGTTTCAGTAACCAGGCTTTATAAATGATTTTCAACAAACCTTTTTCTGAAAATGAGCTGCAAATTACATCCTCTGTCCATCTTCTCTCTCCTATTCGCTGGGAATAAAAGGCAGGAGGGGGTCTCCCGTTCCACCCGTGCCTTGTTCCACTCGTGCC